CATCACATAAAATGTGTTCTGGCCGGTTAAATAAGGTATTGTAGAGTTTTTGTACTAAGTCGTCCAAGCAGTAAGTCCTCTATGGTTGCTTCTAGTGATGAGATAGATGAAAGGAGAGAATTGTGTATGGAGAGGATGTTCTGAGTGTGACAACGGATAATATTTGATAATTACTTGAATGAGTTCATATGTCTATATGCATCGCCCTACTGACGGCTTTTAGTGCCATACACTGTATAAAACAGTCTTTCTCAAGTAGCCCAGGAAAGATTTATCTGGATGGAACAGTAAAGAAGTATAGCCAGGACACAAGAATTAACAAACAGTAACAGTGGAGAAAGAATGATACCCAAATGTCTTAACTTTCTCACATTGAACGTCAAACGAAATATCTTTGTGGAAACTAACATGATGTGGAAGACGAGGAAAGGTGATCAGAGGAAATGCCACAGTCCAAGGGATGTAGCATTCGATTTAGTTTCAACTTCAGTGTCATCTATGATAGTGGAACCGTGAGAACTAACCAGTTCACGTATGTCACGCTTGCGTCTGAAAGTGAAATTAACCATCTGATATTTTTGGAGGGATTCAGCTTAAGACCATTTGACGAGGACCACTGACTAATTTCTAATAAAGAGTTATTCATTTTGGAACAGTCTGACTGGGAAGTCACCGCCGGCATAGAAACCGTCAGATGGATCATCGGCATACTTAAAAAAATTGTCTTCATCAAAATGGGGAAAGTAAGTCATATAAGAAGCAGAAGGAAAACAGAGAAGGAGAAAGAGAGAAGAGCATCTTGAATTAGGAACACCAGTTAGAGTAAGTGAAGGAGGCAGTGGAGTACTTCCCACTGCAAACCAGTGTACTGCTTCCTATCAGAAAAATAGGAGTGCAGCCAGTTGGCATTCCAACACTGTGTACAGCTAAGTAAATGAATGAATTCTCTGAAATGAGACTCTCTGCTGAAATCTTTGTTCATGTCTGGATGAGTGTTTTTCGTGAACTTTCTGTCTGCCCGTCTGTCCCTCCCTCTCTCTCTCTATCTGCCTGAATTTTCTTACTAATCTATCTCACAACAGTTTATCGACGTTGCCTTAATGAAACACATTCATATAACTTGTGTTGGGTAAAGATTCTTTTAAACATATGGAGTGTATCAATGTTTTTTGCAACTGTTGATTTCTATCTCACGACTGAATTTGTATCTGTCGTAAATAGAATGATACTGAATCCCTTCTGCTGGCTGGCTGGATTCAACATAGAACTTGGCACCGAATTGCAGCAGTTTGAGTTGCCACGTTCCAAATAACACACAAAGGTAGACAAGAAGATGAGTGAAAAGAATCAATAGAGTTTTGACAAGTATAAGAGTGAAACAGAATGAGTAATGGTGGAAAGGAATGTGAAAGATTACAGAGACTGAATACATCTGCGTAAGCCATTGACAACGATTTTGAGCCATGTCACCTATTGTCTCTAGCCATTGATTCTTAGAGTCCCGAGGGCCCCAACCCGGAAGTCTGCATCTCCCTACCTGACTCAGTTTAACTGTCAGGGATTTCATGGATTGATGCCATGTTTTTGTTTAGCATGGCACCACTTACTCTTTTCCAACCTGCACATTTATCAGCTAGTAATGCCCGTCGGGAGGGGGAGGCGATTGTTAGGCATGCGCAGCACGTCACCTAGCCATCTCAATCTATGTATCTTTATAGCCTCTTCGAGTGATTTCCCCTCTTTGCCCAACACTCTACGCCTAATGCCAACATTACTTACCTTATTATACCACCTAACGTGAGAAAGAGATCGTAGACATCTATGATCAAAAACAGACAACCTTTTCATGTCTTCAACTCGTATTGGCCATGTTTCAGAGCCATAGAGAAGGACGGAGCGAACTGCTGAGCAATACACACGTCCCTTGGTTGATAGCCGGATGTCACGCCTACGCCAGAGAAGGTGTAAGTTAGCGAAAGCAGCCCGAGCTTTTTGGATCCGTGCTGAGATTTCGTCACCAATCAATCAATTCGTTGGTGCTGATACAACTTCCCAAATAGGTGAAGTGGTCAACATGTTCTATCACTTCACTCCCTATCACTACTAAGCTAGGAGTTGACGTAGTCCAGTCATTCCTGTAGCAGCATTTTACAGGGGCGAATCGCATGCCAAACACACGAAGATTGCTGCTCAAGGTGTTCAGAAGACTCTGCTGTATTTTGTCAGCGTCCTCTCCTAACAGGACTATGTCGTCTGCGTATTCTAAGTCTATAAGACTATTCCCTGGTAACAGGTCGATTCCTAAGTCGTTAAGTTCAGTTAAGGATACTTCCATTAGCATATCTATGATGAAGTTAAACAGGAATGGGGAAAATGGACATCCTTGACGGACACCACTGGTTGTTATCAATTCAGATGACAATTCCCCATAAGCCCTTACACAGCTACATGAGTTTGAGTAGAGTGCCTTGATTAGTGCAATGTACTTTCTTGGCACTCCCTTCACAGTCAAACATTGCCATAGTACCTTTCGATCCACAGAGTCGAATGCCGCCTTCAAGTCAAGAAATATGGGAATTGTTGGACGCCTAAAAGTGTGTCTATGTTCTAGGATCTGTCGGAGAGTGAAGATATGATCTGTGCACCCTCTACCTGACCTAAAGCCAGTTTGATTTTCCCTCGTTTGTCCCTCTCAAGTTCGGCTTAGTCTATGCATGATTGATTACTGAGCCTAGGATTTTAGAGACTATGTTCGTCAGGCTGATTCCTCTATGATTATCACATGAGGACTTGTCTCCCTTCTTGAATATCGGTATAATAAGTGACTTACTCCAATCTGATGGAACCGTCTCTGATTCCCAGACGTTACCTAGTACCTTAGTTAAACTACATACTAGTATGTCACCCCCATATTTAAACACCTCCGGAATAATTCCGTCGGGTCCTGCCGCTTTGCCTCGTTTCAAATTACATATAGCTTTTGTGACCACTGAATCCCTTCAGTCACTTATATCTGCTGTTATTGCGAAACATATGAGCAGAGGGATAATAAATAATCAGCAAAATATCACAGGGTTATTCCGTCTTCTAGACATCTTTCTTTCTTTTGTTTCTCAGTAGTTAATAACGATGATATCCTAATTTTTTATAAATAATCAAGAAACGCTTACGATAATGGAATGAGGAAAGAATAGATACTATACATTGTGATAAAAGTTCATTTTTTGTATTTCTCAATGAATGAAAAATAAAACGATATTGTCGCTGTTCTAACTGACGACGTTTCGCTATTTAATGCTGCTGCTGCTGCTAATAGCTTTATCATCAAAGGAGTAATATTAAACCAGATGAATTTACAAAATCACAGCCTACATTAAGCAACAACTTAATCAACGTTCATCAGCATGGTGGGTAATTCTGTTTACGTTGTTGTCGAGTTGGCCAATTGGTTAAGATAACAAAACCAAGTGTGTGTGTGTGTGTAGATTGTTGGATTTGATAAGTGAACAAAACTATACAAAAGCAGCATGTGTTTACATAATGAGATTGCTGATCACATTCGTGTTGATTTTGTCATTTCATGCGAGAAATCGGGGGGGGGGTATTGTGTTGTAACCAGGACATATTCTGCTTTGGTCCAACATTCCTATTCAGTTCAGTCAATTTTGATTCCCTTTAATATGGAGTGCTTCTGATGATATGAGACGTTCTTTGTGATTTCTGGATGACGATTTCAATATATTGTCAAAATCAATCTTGTGACCTGATTGATTCTATAGCGTAGCGTGTAGACGACCTATGGATGATGATTTTTCAAGCTTTTCTAGTTCAACTGGATTTATTTCTCGGTGGTCAAACAGATGCGGCTCTACGGTGTTCATTTCTTCTGATTTTGATTTCTGGCGATATTTGTTGTTATATATAAGCTGAGATTTTGTAAATTCTTCTGGTTTAATATTACTACCTTGATAGAGCTATTCGCAGCATTAAATAGCGAAACGTCAGTAAGGAGGACAATATCCTTTTTTCTTTTTCATTCATTCACTGGGAAATACAAAGCACTTTTATTTTAATGAATATCATATACCACCACCACCAAATGCCCAAATTCTTTCAAATTGTTAAAAGTGAACACTGATAGATACTTTAGTCTAATGACCTTGAACCGGCCAATCAGATCGCTCATTCCTACAAATAATTCACTTTTTTCTTTAGTTGCAAGTTTCACCCTGATTCAGGGTTAGCGTCAGAGTAAGATTAAGGCAGGGTTAAGGTTAAGGTGAAACTTGCTACAGTGATTATGAGTAGTGTTCATCATTTGAAATGCGGAGAAATGTGACCATCATCATTAGGTTATAATTATGATAAAGTCAATCATTCATCAGAATTAGTGGATTCCATAACTGGCACTCATGCATGTTGTGGTTTACTTATTATCAACACTCTTATGGGGGAAGTGAGACCTCTTTTTGCAGCATATTAGAGACATACAGCGTATATAGTTAATTTTTGTCCCACTTATTATATTCAATAAATGCCATTTTTTGTCTCGAAGCACATGATTGGCTTGTTGAAGGTGATTTGACTATGATATCTATTCTTTCACTGGGATGAGTGTTTCTCTAAAATCGCTACATATTTTTAGAATGTTTATCAGATCACACAGTAGAATGTCTTCAGTATAAGCCTTTTATTGCATGAGTGGTTGTTATTCAATAGTAACATACTGGCCAAGCACTCTATAGATCAGGGTTTGTTCCCAGACCTGCTAACTCCTTGGCATAGTTAAAGAATAGCGACTATTCAGGAGTGCTAGCACACGCCACCGCTACTGAACCTTCATAAGGCTTTCGTCGGCTAGTGTTCCACTCGGAACACCTTTTACTATCATATAATTGTGGTAAATTTTTTGTTTTAGTGATTTCAGCTTATGAATCCCCTGTCATTTCAATCCTGCTTAGTTCTCTCTCTCTTCTTTACTTTTTCTTGTTCGTATTCAGAATCTGGTTCCTTTGAGTGGATATCATATCTTAAAGAAGTTGACGCAGATCCTGTTCAGTCTTCTGTATTTTTCCATGTTCCTTTTGAAGTCCAGGTATGTGGATATTATGTATACATATGAGACTGCTCGTATTCTCATTGTCATTTTTCGCTTACGGTTCCAAAAGTAGTGAAACTTTAAGCATCGAAGGAGTGAGATACATCAATCTTTATTAACTTTTCATTTAGGTCCTCATCTCACTCAGGCTCTACTCTAAAATATTATGTATAGCATTTTTATTACAATACAAAATCAACAAGGCACTGATATGTTCGTTAACAATAATTAGTCAGTATCAACATGTTAGCGAGGGGTAAGGGTGATAATTAACGAAGAAAATTAGTACACACAATTGAAGTATAGAAATGGTCACCATAAGCTGATTGCATAATGCCTAATTTAGGTAAAAGTAAAGAGTAACTAGGGGATAAGCGAGTCTTTAAGCCGATTACTTAATAGGTAATTAAAGAAAAACACAATACTCAAGTGGTTATTTACATCAATTTCATTGGCTACAGGATTTTGTCATGAGCTGACATCGGTTATAGAACCATTGGAAAACCACCTGGAAGTGATGCTAGCACTGCCGGTTGTCTCTGTTGCCCTAGTTTGGCACTGTTCATAAGTACGCACCCATCCCCGTGTGGTTCGAACCCACGACCTCCTGGTTACAAGGGTGGCGAGCAGCGAGATCGTGGACCATTAAGCGGCCATTAGGACCTGGTCCAATGGTTCATGAATTCCGTTTAGAAAACTGGATCGTTCCAGTGTTAGATTACATTGGCCTTCGACGAAGGTGAAGCCTTGGGGCGGCATACATGTCCTAGTCATCTCAATCAATTTAACTGCTTCACAGCCTCATCCATTGACTTTCCGTCCTTACCTAACACTCGACTGATGCCTAACCTCAATATTACTCACCCCCTATTATATCACTTAACACAGCGGATAGGACGCAGACACCCCTGTGATGAAAGACAGCTAGCTAACAAGGCTTTTCATGTTTTGCACTTTCAACGGCCATGTTTCACAGCCAGTGAGTTAGCCATGCAGGAGGACGGAGTGATTTACTGCTGAGCAGTATATACGTTATTTAATCGATTAACAGCCGGATATCTCGTCTACTAAGCGAGAGATGATGATATAAGTTGTATCTATTCTGAGATTTTGTTAGCTATGGATCAGTTGGTTATAGTGCAACTTTCCATATATGAGTGCGGTGGTCAACACACTCTACCACTTCACTTGCAATCTTCAGCCTGGGAGTAATCGATGTGGTCCAGTCACTCCTGTAGAATAATCACCTTACATTTAGCAGCAGAGAGACGAATCGCATGCCAAACATTCAACGATTACTGTTCAGGGTGCTAAGAAAACTCAGCACTTTGACTCTCCCACCCCTTACCCAACTCTCGTCGCCATACCTCAGTAATACTCACACTGTTATACCACATAACAAGGGAATGCAAACCTTTTTATTTGACTGAGTTTCCTTTTCATCTCGACACGTATTGTTAATACATGAATGAGTTACCATGCATCGGTTATGTCACTGTGCATTCTTTTGTTGTCTAAATCGATATCTGTTGAATACATAATCTATATATATTTTTTCGTATCCACCATTTACGTTAACACCTTTACTCATTTCTGTTACTATCAAAATTAGATTCCATCACCATCGATTCTTCCAGCACAACATGCAATACCTGATGGAAATTTTGAACCTGGTCAGTATTTAGAAGGTATTGATCCACACAATGAAAGTTTGATTTGTGTTCTATGCGTTGCAGAATTGGTAGGCAGACGTGTTAAACTACATTTTGTTGGTTATCCAGAGAAATATGATTTTTGGACAACAGTCGACTCGCCTTTCTTATTCCCTGTTGGTTGGTGTGCTCATAACAGTCGTCAACTTCAACCGCCTAAGGAATATCTTGATGCACCATCATATCATCCATTCAATTGGACAAGTTATTTAGCTAAACATGGAGGTAAACCAGTTCCTCGTCATTTGTTCAGAGTATCATGGGATTCAGTAAGTGGTTATAATATCGATACACATATATATATATATAACGCTTGGGCACTGTGGTGGTAGTATGTATTTCCATATTAATTTGTTTATTAGATAGATATATCACACACACGCAGAGTGAAATAGCATTACTGATTACTAGGTGACACAGTTTCGAAAACAATTTATTGTTTTTCTTAATCATATCATCGATCATAACTACACAAATTCGAAATTTTCGTTTTGTAGTTAGTTTTCTTTATTCCTTCCTATTTGTTCAACAGAAGTACCACTAGAATACATAATCCAAGGAGTGCAACTTTGCCTGACTTCTAGAGTATTTAAATTCCAGGGGAAAAATACGCACATACACAAACATGTGGCCACCAATATCCCCGGTTGTGGTAGATATATTCATGGAAACGTTCAGTCCAGCGCACCCCAAAAGTATGGTGAAGGTATGTGAAGATTACACATACACTGTAGATAGAACGCAGAACATAAACAGATTTTTCGATCACATCAACTCGAAGGTAGGGGTAATTCAATTCACTTATGAATTTGAAAGTCAGGAACAGGAGCTTCTAAATTTAGATTTTAGAGTAAAAAGGAAAGAAGATGGGAAGCTTAACACTAGTGTTTACAGTAAAGCCACACATTCAAACCGATGTTTGTATTTTGGATCATCCCCACTCTTTTATCATTAAAAATAAGACTGATGAAATGATTAAGTGAAAATAGGGCACAAAAACTAAGTAGTGCCAAGGAAAATCTAAGACGGGAAGTGAAGCATTTAAGAGAATCTTTGAAACTTAATTAATAATTATCCTGATGAACTAATCAGGAAGTATGCGGGAAAATGTAAAAATAAAATTAATTAATCATTTGTGTTACCTGCTTCCATACAAAGAAGGAACCTCGGAAAGCTTATGGTGGAGAGTTCCTAACTATTCAGGAAGGAATAAAAGTGGCTGACATTCAAACCACCCAAAAACTCAATTAGAAACAAGCTTTGTGGGTTGGAGGATCCTGCCTATGGAGACAATGATAAAAAACAATTTAGTTTATCTAATATCCTCCTTTAATAATTAATTGCTTGCCAGGTGAAATAATGCATAGGTGAAAGTAGTAGGACTTGTTTTAGTCAATCAGGCAGTCAAACTAGCGGAGCAGTACAAAAGCCTAGCTAAATGTCGATTAGTTGACCCGAATAAGATAAGAAATCTGGAGAATAATTCAGGTATACCATTCAGTAATAATAATAATAATCTACTTTATTCCAAAAACAGTACTTATAATACAGAATGGAATTCTCAGCATTTGTCACAATATTGTATCTGATTTACTCAAAATATGAATTAAATTAAAACAAAATTAACCAGAGGAATTCGTCCATATTTACCGTATAAAATAAAAAATATTCAAAGTGCAAAATGAGAATAATAAATATGATAATAATAATAATAACAGGTTTGTTTCAAACAGTATTGTATATTCAGTTATAGAGCATTGAATCTAATGTTCTGTTGATATAGCAGCATGATTAGGGGAAAGACAGTTTAAATGATGTTTACACTTATGAGAAAATAAACAAATAAAAACAAAAAATTGAGAGGATTATAAATATAAGAAAAACAATAACAATAAAGCTTGATGTTGTAAGGGTGGAGAAAATGGTTTATTTACTAGTGCAAAGAATGCTAGTTTTAATTCATGCCTGACAATATTTTCACCACATAAAATATGTGTCGCCAAATATGGTGTCGTGGAATTTCTAAACTTAGACGTACATGCACAAAGTCTTTTGAAATAATTTTTTGTTTTACCTGTTGAGAGACAAGGTGAAAGCTGTGGGTGCTGCAGTGGATGCTCACAGTCTGACAAAATCCTTTTAGAAAATTTGTTGCATGGAATTAAGTGCTTATCAGTGACGATGTCAACGATATCGCTAAATGAGATAACACTCTCTCTACTGATAGTCTTCAGAGTTCTGCGAAGTATGAGATAATCTTTTCTAAGCAACCTAGGGAAGAATAAGGGTGAACCGTAAATAAATAGGTAAGATGCACGAGTTGACAAATTTTAAGAGTAGGGGTTGAGTTATGCCTGAGTACCGTAACTTCTTAATGTAAAAAGTCAGACGAAATATTCTTTTAGAAATCGCTAAGACATGGAAAGACCAGGATAGATCAGAAGAAAGAATTAATCCAAGATACTTAACGTCAGACTTGATTTCTATATCACTATCATCAATTTTGCAACGGTCATAGGAATTAGCAGCTTCATCATTTAACTATCTTTTACATCGGATACTGAAATTAACAGTTTGACATTTGGAAGGATTTAGTTTACGACCATTAGACAAAAACCATCCGCTCACTCCTGGTAGAAAGCTGTTCATCTTTTTACTGGCTAGCTGGGAGTTGGCAGCCACTGAAACAATTCGATCGTCCAAATACTTAACAGAGTTCATTTCATGCAAGAAGAAAGAAAATAGAAAAGGAGACAGAACACCAGCCTCAGTAAGCAATGAAGTGAACGACTTCCTCTGACATACAGTGTACTGCTTTTTTCCTGAGAAATAAGAATGCAGCCATTTGACAACTCAACATTCAGTTCGAATTTCGACTAGCTTATTTAGAAAAATATCCCTATTTACTAAGTCGAAAGCAAATGTGTAGTCTAGGAAGTTGCAGGGAACAAATGTAGCCCCCTTGTCTAAACTGGAGACAATATTATGATGCAAGACTGCAGCTGCATCTAAAGAACTTCTACTATGTTTTTAGGTGAATTGTTTGGAATCGTTAAAGGCTTTGAGTGAAGGTTGAAGATTAAGTAAGAGCGACTTTTCCATAGTTTTTAGAAAAGGAGAGGGAATAGCTATAGGTCTAAATGTAATACATGTTCCAGTAGACGACTAAGGTACGGCGTTTCTGGAAAAAGATTGGTGAAATATGTTAATGAGAGGATAACATAGGATATCTGCACACTTTTTAAGAATAACGCTAGGCAAATCATCTGGACCTAGGCTACAAGAAAGGTTCAGCAACTGGAGACATTTTCGAACATCATTTGTATTGAAACCAGGGAAGCAGGTTTCATTAACACTTGTGACACTAGAGAATATGGCATTTGTGGGAGAAAATATGAAAGACTTATTTAAGTTACACACACCAAATGAACAAAAAACACTTTATCTGCTAAACGCCAGTAATTTCTTTGGAAGGTTTCCATAGATTAAAGGCGTTTTTACAGGATATAAACTTCTGGTTATAAACTGACTTCACACTCCGCATTTCAGACTTGATCAGGATGTTAATTCTTTCTACGCCAATGTTATACTTCATTTTGTATAACTTTTCCTTTTCCCTGCGAAGCTATTTAAATTGAGGGGAGGGGAAACGATCAAATCTGATGAAGAGTGTTTCTCTGGGACAACAAGTGTCAAGACAAAATTTCAGATACCATGTACTATTTGAGATAGTGTCATTAAGAGAGTCTTCATAAGACAAGTCCCACCTTTTGTTTTTGAGTATGCTCCTAAGATTCTGGACATTCTCCTTAGAGTGACATCCATGTATAATTTTCTCGGACATGTGTGAAAAGTTTCTCTTGTGTAACTTTCCATAAATTTTGGGTAAAACCCGCACAGTACATTGATCAGAGTTAAACAGTGGGGCTCTTTTACAAGCTTCATATATTCCGGAGTCATTTACAAATACAGGATAAAGCGAAGTATCCAGTCGAATGGAAAAGTTAACGAAATTTTCATGACCCAGCACTGTAAGGAAACTGCAACCACAAAAATTAAAATCTGCCACTATGATCACTGAGTTACCGAATGAGGTGGCGGTGAAATCAGTGAATTGATCAGAAAACATTAATCCAGCTTGTTCAGGCAGTCTCGTGGAGTTCTGCATCTGTATATCTAGGATGATATGACTTAATATTTTTCTTGGCCTGGACAGCAGTGTGATTCCGCATCAGCTCTCGATTCGGCCTAAGTCACCTTTTCCTTTGATAGTTTGACAAGGTAGCCTTTTTTCCAACCAGTAGTAGGTGCCTTTTCTTCCTGAAAATTTTTTTACAATGGTGGCTTCAGCATATCTGCTGCAGTCCCTGGATCGGTTTTTTCACTGCTTCAGGAGGAATTATATCCGATCCAGTGTATTTCATACCACAGCCTCGTAAGAGTGAACAGCCTTGTCGTTAGGTTGGTGACAAGACCAGTGATAACTGTTCAATCAAAGATAAAATACAGTGATCAGAACTCATGAGATAGAAAAATCAAAATTTGGTATGATCAAAGTGGGATGAAAAGATAATGATGTAACACAGTGAATAGAATTCATAGGATCATATTTTATGCCGTACTTTGGGTCCGATACAGGAACGCCAAGCTGAACCGCTTGTTATTGTCTTTATATCGAGAGGTGGACGCCGTCATAGTAGGTTTTCATATCTTGTTCCAATGTCGAGAAATTTTGTAGCGTCTGACAAGTTAGTCGCAGGTAGCTTGGGTATCGATGTTTCATGTGCAGTCCGTCGCTTTCTCCTGCTTTCTGCATCACAGTACGTGAGAAAATGAGGCGCAACCAAGACCACAATAGGAATGTTTAGCAGATAATAACTAGTTATAATACTTTGATGATGGTGAAATCTTGTGTCCAACGTTGCCTCTGTTATCTCTAAATCGCTTTTCATAATGGTCCTCTATCTCTCTGCATATATGTATGTGCGTCGGTGGCACAGTGGTTAGGACTCTCGCCGACCATGCACATGGTCCGGGGTTCGATCCCCTGCCGGCGCACACCCGATATCTATGGTATGCCTGAATTTGGGCAACCGATATCCATGCTGAAAATTCCATACTTGTACTGAAAATACGGTGTGGAATCAAGCTGTAAATAAAAAAAAACGGTATAATATTTATTTTTCTGGAAATATATTCCTCTTCAATTTTCAATTACTTTTTTGCATATCATAGGAGTTTCTCGTCCTTTTTATTAACACATACACGCACCCACTGAGGTTTGAATCCAGGACCTTGCGTTTACAAGGCGAGGTGGTAAACCATGAGGCCACTGAGACGCAATCCAATCCAATGGTCAGCCAGCCAAGGAATTCCAACTTCTACTAATTCACACAAGATACAGAATGGCTGGCACTAGGCGATGTCATTACTGGCGGGTGTTTCTCCTCATCTACGATCTGTTGTACCCTGCTGGTCATAACTTCTCACTAGAACTCAGGTAACTGCTTACCTGAATTAGGCCAGTCACTAGAGAACATCAGGTTGACACTCAAGTGTTGGTTTCCAGGGATTTGATTTGATTGTTTATAGGATTTCATCATGAACTGATATCGGTTGCCTGGAGAACCATTGGAAAACCACCTGGAAGTACTGCCAGATAGTTGTCTGTGCTCTCCCAGTTTGCGACTTTTCAGAAGTGCGCATCCATTGGAGTTCAAACCCAGAACCTTCCGGTTACAGACCGAGCCCGTAGACCATTCAGCCACAAGGACCCGATCGGTGGGATACAGAAGATCGAGTTTGAGAGGAATGCCTCACAACCGATGACAGTGGCCAGTGCCAGTCGCGCTATATCGTGAGTGAATTGGCAGAAGTTGGAATTCATGGACTGGCTGGTCATTGGATTGGATTAGGTCCCAATGGTTTCATAGTCTACGAGCTCGGTCGTCTTGTAACCAGCAGGTCTTGGGTTTAGACTCCAGTGGGGTGGGTGAGTACTTCTGAAGAGTCCCAAACTAGGACAACACAGACAACTTGCTGGCAGTATGGCCAGCTGGTTTTCCAATGGTTCGCTAACCAACCGATGTCAGCTCATGATGAGACCCTGTAACCAATCAAATCCCCTAGAATCAACACTTGGAAAAAATACCGTATTGACTGGATAGTAAGTATTCTAGCTGAAAGTATTGAATTTAAATCTCCTCTCTGAAGTTTTTATTCTTTCCTTTTTCATATGTATACATGCTTATTTATTAATTTTGTTCTCAAATTTTTGTAGCCTATTGATGCATCACCGTCTCATATGTTTGCCGTTGGATTGAAATTGGAGGCCATAGATAAACGAAATCCTGCCTTGGCTTGTGTAGCTACAATCAAAGATTGTATCGGAGATTATGTCCTTATACATTTCGATGGTTGGGATTCAGGTTTCGATCAATGGGCTCATGTATCCTCTGAACTTTTACATCCTGTTGGTTACTGTGAAAATCATGACCAAGTTTTATCGATACCCAGTGGTAAGTACTTTTCAAAGTGTGTTGTGTGTGTTGATCTATCTGGGAAAAAGGATAGTGGGAAAATAAGATGATGAGAGTGACGTGGATAAAGGAGTATGTTGTTCAGGAGAGTTTCGTTTTCTTTTGGAAACGTGTGGGTGGTTGTTACTTCCCGGTTGCCCACACAACCGTGAAAGTTGGTTTTTTTATTGGGATAACCGAAACAGAAAGAGGGTTAGTGTTGCGTGACCACAGAGCCCAGGGGACAACTGCTTGAGGCCAGTCACCCACGGCCTGTCTAACCTGGCTTTTTGGTTTGGTTGCTTATTAGTAAATTTACCACCGGTTACGGATCACCGTTGGGATGTACCATTTTCGGGGTTGACCTTTCTTACCCCGTCCCTCCAGAGTGGAAAGAGAGCATAGGTGGCTGGCATTCTGATCATCTAAGGGAAACACATTACTGCTGTAACATCCCTATTCCCCAGCAGTACGACTTTACCCACAGAACCCCATCGTAGTGTAAAAAAATCTTACACTATGCCGCTAACTGCTTTTAGTCTAATCGTTATTGTATATATATATATATATATATAATATATATGATGTAGTACATATTACTGCAAATGCGTCGCTGATACAGCGGTAGAATGATCGGTGACCACGTCTGTGGTTCGGGATTTGATCCCCGGCTACCGACGCACTCCTAAACCTTGCTAAGCCGGTAATAAGACCTGTAAAGATGGAAGGTTGGACATGAGGTTATCAACAACCCTACTCCATTCCAAAAATAAACACCACTACTACTGAAACTTCGAAAAGCTGTAGCTTGTAGCCCTGGATGTTCCACTAAAACAGCAAAGTAAGTGTAGAACTTGAGCACTGTGGTAGAATGTAATTCCATATTAGATAGGTTTATTTTTAAATATCACACAGTGATGATGATGCAGTATTAACAACTGGATGGCAAACAGAAAAGTTGTCCAGCATAAATTATTGCCATTCATAATCACATCAACCAATTTTAGTCGCACACGGTTTCACCATTTGTCTTATGCGTATATTGTCTCCGTCTATTCTATCTCTCTTTACAACTTCCCCGCGTGTTGTTTCTTGTCAGTTTCCATATCTCCGGTATAGGCGCTGGTGTTGCGTCGCATCATTCCGATTGTTGCAGGTGTTCGGTGTTGAATCGATAAACAAAGCTTCAGTGATTAACCTTTCTCTCTCTCGCTCCCTTCACCTAACCGACTATATCACGTTTTAATACTCTCACCCTGTTCTACCCACCCTATAGGGTGTATGATTACATGCAAGTGGATGCTGTGGAGTGGCTGGGCTCTGTTTTTTATCTAGGATATTCAGCTTACTTAGTAGGGTAAATCAGACTAGGTCTGGCTAAATTTTCATGTTCTAATAATCTATTAGTTTGATCTAAGTAATTGACCTCACTCACAGTCAGCCAGCATTACATGGTATTTGGTAAATTGTATTATACATTTTCTTAATTAGATTTGTTCGGTGCTTAAGCCGACATACAAAGTTTATCTGTGAGTGACTTGGTTGGTTTAAATGCCACCCCGACTAATTCTAGCCTCATTGAGAATCCTGCGTAAGGCCTTTGACATCCCTTCTTTATACGACAGTACTACAGAGGCTTTGAACTCTGTATTATTTTCGTCATCTCCATTATTAATCTTTCTTTTTCTATGGTTCTTCACATATTTTTGAATAAATTCTGATGGTTAGTGAGTGTGTTATTCACTAGTAATATTTCCTTTATTTGTTTGATTTCATTATTTAAATCTTCTGGCTGACTACTAGTTAGGTGCTTGACCCGATTATATAGACTTTTAATTAAACCTATCTTACAGGATTTCATCATGAGCTGACATCAGTTAGAGAACCATTGGAAAACCTGGGAGTACTGGACAGCTGTTTCGTCCTAGTTTGGGACTCTTCAGCAGTACGCACCCACCGGGATTCGCTGGTGATTGTTACAGGATTTCATCATGATACATCAAGTACTGGACAGCTGTTCGTCCTAGTTTGGACTCTTCAGCAGTACGCACCCACCGGGATTCGAACCCAGGACCTTCTGGTTACAAGGCGAGCTCGTATACCATTAAGCCACTGGGACCGATCCAAGTCATGAAATTTCGTCTAGTTTGGGACTCTTCAGCAGTACGCACCCACCGGGATTCGAACCAGGCGAGCTCGTATACCATTAAGCCACTGGACCGATAATGGTCATGAATTCTAACTTCTGCCAATCACGACATAGCGCGACCCCTAGCCAATGTCTTCGGCGAGTATTTCCTAGCCGACCTGCTGCACCTACTGGTCACGACTTCTCACTAGAACCCCAGGTGACTACCCACCTGAATAGGGCAAGTCGCTAGTGAGCATCTCATTGATTTTCAAGTGTTGGTTTGTAGGGATTTATTGTTACAGGATTCATCATGAGCTGACATCAGTTAGAGAACCATTGGAAAACCTGGGAGTACTGGACAGCTGTTTCGTCCTAGTTTGGGACTCTTCAGCAGTACGCACCCACCGGGATTCGAACCCAGGACCTTCTGGTTACAAGGCGAGCTCGTATACCATTAAGCCACTGGGACGATCCAATGTCAATCTAACTCTGCAATTCACGACATAGCGCGACCCCTAGCCAATGTCTTCGGCGAGTATTTGTCCTCACGCCCGACCTGCTGCACCCTACTGGTCACGACTTCTCACTAGAACCCCAGGTGACTACCCACCTGAATAGGGCAAGTCGCTAGTGACCAGAAGGTCCTGGGTTCGAATCCCGGTGGGTGCGTACTGCTGAAGAGTCCCAAACTAGGACGAAACAGCTGTCCAGTACTCCCAGGTTTTCCAATGGTTCTCTAACTGATGTCAGCTCATGATGAAATCCTGTAACCAATCAAATCCCTACAAACCAACACTTGAAAATCAATTGGAGTACTGTTAGTGATACAAGCAGGTGTAGATGCTAGGGCGCGCTATGTCGTGAATTGGCAGAAGTTAGAATTACTGATCGTTACCAGAAGTTGCCGGTGGTGCGTATGCTGAAGAGTCCAAACTAGGACGAAACAGCTGTCCAGTACTCCAGGTTTTCCAATGGTTCTCTAACTGATGTCAGCTCATGATGAAATCCTGTAACCAATCAAATCCCTACAACCAACACTTGAAATCATCATAACGAGTCACGGGTCTAGTGAGAAGTCGTGACCAGTAGGTGCAGCAGGTCGGGCGTGAGGACAAATACTCGCCGAAGACATTGGCTAGGGGTCGCGCTATGTCGTGAATTGGCAGAAGTTAGAATTCATGGACCATTGGATCGGGTCCCAGTGGCTTAATGGTATACGAGCTCGCCTTGTAACCAGAAGGTCCTGGGTTCGAATCCCGGTGGGTGCGTACTGCTGAAGAGTCCCAAACTAGGACGAAACAGCTGTCCAGTACTCCCAGGTTTTCCAATGGTTCTCTAACTGATGTCAGCTCATGATGAAATCCTGTAACCAATCAAATCCCTACAAACCAACACTTGAAAATCAATGAGATGCTCACTAGCGACTTGCCCTATTCAGGTGGGTAGTCACCTGGGGTTCTAGTGAGAAGTCGTGACCAGTAGGGTGCAGCAGGTCGGGCGTGAGGACAGGGGCTATTCTGATTGGCAGAAGTTAGAATTCATGGACCATTGGATCGGGTCCCAGTGGCTTAATGGTATACGAGCTCGCCTTGTAACCAGAAGGTCCTGGGTTCGAATCCCGGTGGGTGCGTACTGCTGAAGAGTCCCAAACTAGGACGAAACAGCTGTCCAGTACTCCCAGGTTTTCCAATGGTTCTCTAACTGATGTCAGCTCATGATGAAATCCTGTCACCAATCAAATCCCTACAAACCAACACTTGAAAATCAATGAGATGCTCACTAGCGACTTGCCCTATTCAGGTGGGTAGTCACCTGGGGTTCTAGTGAGAAGTCGTGACCAGTAGGGTGCAGCAGGTCGGGCGTGAGGACAAATACTCGCCGAAGACATTGGCTAGGGGTCGCGCTATGTCGTGAATTGGCAGAAGTTAGAATTCATGGACCATTGGATCGGGTCCCAGTGGCTTAATGGTATACGAGCTCGCCTTGTAACCAGAAGGTCCTGGGTTCGAATCCCGGTGGGTGCGTACTGCTGAAGAGTCCCAAACTAGGACGAAACAGCTGTCCAGTACTCCCAGGTTTTCCAATGGTTCTCTAACTGATGTCAGCTCATGATGAAATCCTGTAACCAATCAAATCCCTACAAACCAACACTTGTAAACCTATCTTACTTGACGGATTGTGAATGGGATGAATTAAGGTCTAAATATTTATTAGAGCATGCGTGTGTGTGTTGGTTTCCTATAAACGCCAGCAAGTATCTAACCATTCACCATCTTGCCTTCGCTTGCATGTTGCAGTCTAGCATGACCAACTCACCGTGTTCGTACTCTAGCTCACAAGAGAATTGGATTCCGTCTGCTGTCGAGTTTATATGTACGAGAAATTGAGGTATATGTTGCGATTTCAACACAGTAGTGAATTAGTCATCCACATATTTCAACTATAACCTAGGTGAAGCAGTATTAAACGTTCTAAGAGCCTTATGTTCCCAAAATGTCCACAAATGTGTCTGCTGCTATTACTGGGGGTGTTGGTGATCCATGCTATTGCCATCCTATTCTTTTGTTTATATAGTTTATTTCGAAACATTGAATACAGTAGAAGTTGAATATCACTGAACACCGTAATATTATGTGATATTCACAATAAACTTACCTAATATGTAAAGAACGTAAGGGAATAAAAGAAAGTAAACATTACTCCTCCGAGAATAAGACGAATTCACGTGAAACATATCGTCATCATTATCGTCGTCGTCGTCGAACAGAGCATTAGAATAACAGTCAACACTGCACCTCAAATTCATCCACTCTAAAAAAAGCCTTGGATGGAACTGAAATAAATTGTGAAAACTGCTTCAACACTACCA